TTTGAAGTTATGTTGCGTGTCTTACAGGAATTTTGGATTATCCAACCTTCAAAATCAGGACCCTGTGACTATCATTGACTATCATGTGGTTCTATTTCGGGTCCTTGGCTTGGGTTACCAAAGCCCTGCTACTATGGTGGCACACCACACAGGCGCGTCAGATCTTCTTCCCCTTCTCAGGGATCCGTGAGCTTCCCAAAATTAAGTCGATCCGAACCTTTACCCAAGATGCGGGGAGGACTACACTGAGGGACAACTCAACTTAAACGTTTAGAGGTTATCAGCTTGAGGCTTAGGCTGAGGATCCAGGAGTTCATCACAGCGTCTTTTTAGCGATGCGGGCTGATGCAGAAGCAGTGCCGTTGCCAGGACTGTGCAAGCTCATAGCGCACACGCCTCGTTCACGAACTCAGCTTCTCACCTATGCTTATGCGACTGTGCCTAGATCATCGCAGCCAATCATGTTGGGATACATGAGAGGAAGGTGTTCATCCTGAGTCTGCAAGAAGTGTTGTATGGATGGCACTTAGTCTGAACTCTGAAAGCACAATTGGAGCTTAGGAGGAAGTATAAGTAACGAGATCGTGCTGCGCTATGGGCAATGCAGCGAAGTGTTGTCGCTCGCAAGGGCTTTCTCACATGGCCAAGCTTACATTGCATACCAGAAGAACTACCCCCTACCTCTCTAGCCTTAACATTGGGCAAAAGGAAGATCGATGTTTCTTGCGCATTTCGACCAAGCTCTCTCAGGGTTGCTGGAGATGCCATCCTGGATCGGGGTCACGCACAATATTGAAGAAACCCTGAAGACATGAAACTCCATGGACAGCATTATTACATCCTTAAGACCCGGTGACCTGGCTGAAGACGGGCTGGGCAAGACAAGAGCGCAGAAGATGAGAAGCAGGAGGAGGAGGAGGAGGAAGAAAGATTGCAGTAGCACTGTAGCGGCACAGTTTCTGAGTTATCACATCGCATTATAACGGCCTGTGTTGTGTGACAGTTCGAGTAGCTGCTGTAGAAGTGCTAACCCGTGACACGGACTAGTTGTGGTAGTAGTGGTCTTCGCCGATATCCTCGTCGTAGAAGACGACCTCACCGTAAAGTCGTTGTCGTTGCCGCCTTGGCCGCCGCCTTTGCCAATGTCGCAGCTGCCGCCATCGCCGTCGTCGTCATCATGGTAGTTTTCGCCGCCGCCGCCGCCGCCGCCGTCGTCGTCGTCGTCGTGGTGCTGCCGCCGCCGTCGTCGTCGTGGTGCTAGTAGTGCCACTGGCCGCAGCAGCATCAGTTAACAATGGAGGGAGAAAGAGCCGCCTCCACAGCAGCACGAACGGCTCAGCTATTGCTCTATGGGGGGCTTCTACAAACAGGGATCCCCTTAAGGGGGTTGATAGGGGTGATATAGGGATCTATAGAGCTTAGGGTTTACCAGCATTTGGGAGCCTATGAACTGTGGATGGTAATATTTGGGGACATATAGCGGGATCCGGTTTTTCAGGTATCCTCCTGTCAGCAGCTGCCACACAGCAGTAGGCAACATGAAGTGAGAAAGGCTGGTTGAGTAGCACTTGCATTGCAGGAAGAGATAAGGCGGAAGAAGATCTTGGCCACTAAGAAGCAGGTCCACTAAGTAAGGATTCTAGAGAGGTACATTTGAGAATCTCCCGTTGGCTCCTGCATATCTGAAATTTAAGAAGTACCCCGCCCACCCCCAAATATCCACCATACACCCTTTCGGTGTATGTAGAAAATACTGGACAAGCAAAGTCAAAGAACGTGGAAAATGAAATGGGAACCGGGACCTTCACACCCTAAACGTTTGACTCCCCCAAATAACCTAATCCCCGAACAGGTCTCCTGTATAGCCTCCGGGATTCCAAAGCCAGTCTGATACTCGATGCCTCTACGGATTGGGAGGAGGATTGAACCTCGGTGCACGCAGCACGGGAATGCTTGCCACAGGGACCCCAAAAACGGAGCCCGGATGGTGGGAGCCCTGTTTGTCAGAAACGTGATGTACCACCCTTGTTTACGAGGTTGCGACGCTTGACTATTACCGTGCCTGAACAGCATCGTAGTACGGATTAGTTTATGTATGTCCTGACGGTAAGTAGTCTCCAAAGAGACTTCGTGAATCTCGCTTGTTGAAGTTCGTAAACCTGACTGTTGAAGGTGAAAGAGTTTGCAAATCTTACAAAGGCTAACGCTCGCTCCAGAACGGATGGGCCATTCATAAAATCTAAGGTCTGGTTGCAGCCCTAACCCTTAAACCCGTAGAGTCAAGCCCACCACCCAACGCAACCATAAGCACGCATCCTCGAAGCCCCAAACCTCTGCACCAAACGCCCCCGCCCTCCCCCGACAAAGTCCTTTTCTGGGTTGCTGTTAAGGAACTCCGATTACAATATGGATATGTTGTAAACAGTATGGTTTCCTACTAACTGTAACGTGAGCTAGGTTCCTGAACACCCGCTGCAAACCCACTATAGCCCCGTTTCTATTTCATTGTCCATCTTCCTGTCAATTCAGGCTAGTTCAGGGGGAAGCTACAGTGCGTGGTAAGGGAACCCATGATAATTCAAAGCTCCAAACCTGAGCCGCCCCCAAACTGACTTGGAACCATGCCTCAAAAACGACTGTCCCTTTAAAAAGGGGGCTGTACAAGGTTCGGTACGGGTAAGCCCCACGAGCAAAGCGTTACTCTCTGAGCCGTCCACTCCTCGATGCCGTGCCACTCGCCCATCTTGAACTTCACACCACCTCATTTGCAGGCTAGGAGGATCCCCCACCCTGTAGTAGTGGTATAATATATATATATATATGAGGAACCATTATCCCTTACAGTCACTGTTACTCCTCATTTACAGGTGCCTTCATGGCTTTCACCGGATAGCGGCCACTGCTGTGGATATCAAGGGACCACAAAGAGTCGACACACTCTGGGGCCCATTCAAACGACGTCTCTAACAATATCCAGACCACCCTCCATGATGTCTGCCGCAACCCTATGTTCAGTAAAGCCCTACTAGCATTATAGAACTCCAGCCTCCCCCAAACTAACATGGAACCCCACGAGGGGCCCCAACAAGACTCGTATCCTCATAATCCCCTCCCCTAATATGAACCACCCCCCCTACCCGGATATATGCAATATGTTATAATATACGGCAACTGGAGGATTTAATATTAGCGGAAGGGGACAACAACCTGGGCAGCGATTGGCTCCATATTCGCAAGGGAGATGGTAGGGTTCTAACCTGGGACCCTAAATTTGATAGATGCTTCCTCGGATGGGTATACACAATAATCGCCATTACTATATGAGCCATAGTCTAAACTCCTCAACGGGGATTACATAGGGGGTGCTATAGAGGTTATTAAGGTGGATACTAGGAGTTTAGAATATGGCTCACATGGCTCATAGGTGGTTAGGATTATACTCACCAAGTCCCCCTGGCCCTCCAAAAGGTTTAGGGTTTAGGGTTTAGGGTTTAGAGGTACAATGCCTAAGAGTAAAAGACTACAGCTCTAGCTTGATGGCTATGCACAGTCTAGAGCTACTGACGTTGAACAATCAGTGTAGGGTGTAGGGTTTAGGGTTTAGGGTAGGGTTTAGGGTGTAGGGTTATGTGCCCTAGCAAGACCCTGTACGTGGGAGTTTCTCAAATCCATCCCCACAGAATCGTCTAGGAAGCCCTCAGACTCCCCCCATTCCCCACCCAATCCACAAGAACCCTAAACCCTAAACCCTCACCCGGAAAAACCCTAAACCCTTAACCCTCTGAACCCTAAACCCCTAAAACCTGAAAACTGAAACCAAAACCCTATCCCGTTCACAATCAGGCTGGCGGCTTTGGATCAGTCGCCGGGCAAGTGCCTCACCGCAGGCCACCGAGGGTGTGAGCACGCCGCCAGGGAAGGGGAGCTCCTTTTAGGGTTTGTGTAATCTTTTTGTGTGTTTAGAACTCCTGTTTAGGGTTTATTTAGGGTTTAGGGTCTAGGGCAGGGCTTAGGACTGCGGATTTAGACCTGGTTTTAGGGTTTATGGCTCGGGATTTATTACGTTTTGGGGTTCGGTTTCATGGCTTAGGGCTCAGGATGTAAGGCTTAGGGTTTAGGGCTTAGCACTTAGGATTTAAGGTTCAGGGCGCATGGCATTTCTCGAAATGGGCGGGGAGGGGAGGTGGCCTTAGCCCCCCCTGACGCGCCATGAACATTCCGAAGACCACTCAGCACCCCCAAAATCCAAAGGTCGTTTTATCATAGCTTCAGAACTTTAAGTTAAGCCGATTTGGGACTCTTCTTTCCACATAACCTGCAACTTAGAGTGACGCTGTGAATTTGCCCAGCCATACTTTTAAGAGCACAGGGATCACCTTAAGAAGCACACGTCTCACTGGAGCTCCTTTCTGTCGAAGACCAGGCACATCGCCTAGGCCCACGGTTCGCGGTTTAGGTTTTTGGGGTTTGGGGTCCAGGGCTTTAGGTTCAGGACTTGGAGTTTGAGGCTTAAGGCTTAGGTTTAGGCTTTTTGGTTTAGGTGATAGGGTCTTAGGTCGGATGGCGAAGCCAGCTTAGGGTGGCTTTTGCAGGTCATTGAAAAGTAGGAGAGTTTTCAGGAGAGTTTCTTTCTGGACACTTTTGCCTAAAGCCCAAACCATACCTGGACCCTTGATGTCCAACCTCTCTCTCTCTCTCTCACGTGCTCTTGATGTCCAACCTGTTCGGGAGATCTTGGGAAATACTTGGAGGTTCACGGGTAGCTATAAGGGAGGACATCTCTACCCCAAACATGGTACCAGCGGATTGCGACTATGATTGCTACTTCTGACCCAGATCATAACCCTCGCGATCAACCCTGTGAAGTTCCTCAGGGGAACTTCACCCTAAACCCTAAAGCCAAAATTTTCCGCTGAGGTCCCCAAGGTAGCTCTAAATCGTAAAGCCCTAAACTCTAGCCCTAAACGCTAACTCTCAACCCAGGACGGCTGCCGAGGGGCCGTCTCCACCGCAATCCGTGCAGTCTCGAAGTAGCCGTCTCGGCCAATGAAATCGCACTTGATCTGCAAGGGGAAAGGTCTAGTTTAGGGTTGAGGGCTTAGGTTGGGTGGACCTCCCACCCTGCAATAGAGGTAAAGTAGGAATGTAAGAGGACCCTAATATCACCGCCATCCCTTCCAGTTACTCTTAGTGGGTGGGGGGTCCACCTAAGATTCACATCTTTAGAGTTGCGGGCTTAGGGTTGGCACAGCGGGGGCCTCCAAAAAAGCAGGTCTCGTTACTCCAAGACTACTGGGGCTAGAGAGGTATTTGGGAATGTCCACAAGTGGTGGGACCCCAACATAGAACCCATGATGATATCCTAAACCCTAAACCCTATAATCCTAGTATTCTGGGGACCCCCAAGAAGCATTCCTAAACCCCTTTTTGGGCATCTGGGCTCGCACACAGCCGGGAGGAGCTTCCAACGAGGCCCGGGAGCACAAGCCCTAAACCCTCAACCCTAAACCTCCTTAACCATCCCCACCTCCACTGAAACTAACGCATACGGGGAGTTCGGAAATTTCAACCAACTATCAAACCCCAAAATGATATCCTAAACCCTAAATCCTATAATTCTATAATCCTATAACCCTATAATCCTGTAACCCTATAATCCTAGTATTATGGGGCCCCAACACTTCAAGCCACAAAAGGCCGCTATGAAGACTTGTCTCCTTCCCCTCGAACAACCCATCAACCCCCATTGCACGGGGGTGTGTAAGGGAATGGGGTAAGGGTTTCGGGATTAGGGTTTAGGATTTAGGGTTTCCAAAAATTAGGGGTCCCTATCATAAGGCTTGTACGTAACATTTTGGGGTCTATATTGGAGTTC